AATATTTAATAGAATTGAAGAAATGTCACAGCATCCACGTTGGTTCCTACAGTTTCTATGGAATTGGGCATTGAATGCACTGTTCAGAATTCGACAGACTCGCTCCTTTTATAAATGGAGAAAAATCCGCAGTCTGTCGAAATTTCAGTGGTTCGTCACTGTTTTTATTTAAGGGCTCGTAGAACGGTGAGAATAATCGACACGTCCGATCGTCGGAAATGATTTCTTTCTCTTGCGCGCTCGGTCAGCGAATGTTTCGAACGCGCGCACGTGTGATTGTTCATTGTTCAAACGGTTATCGCCGCATTCCGCGAAACGAGTCGACGCGAGAATGTCCAAGATAAAGAATCGCGTTGAAAACCGAGCTCGGTAAAACAAACAGTCGGCCAGTCAATATTTCCGGAATCCTTTCATAAAAAACTACAATCGACTTATAACGCCGTGACTCCGTTCCTCGCGTAAACTCGAATTTCCTCTCTTACATTCCGTTATCTCCCTCGCGAGGGCAAACTATAGAAATCCACTTTCTGTGTAGATAGAGAAAGAGGTCGGCCGTATTTCGATTACTTCCAGGGACAGGGACATTCTCAGGAAGAAATAATACCGCGATTTTATTCGCCATATCCAATTCTCTTCTACAATTATTCGGTACCAAAAGTTCCAAGGCATTTGATTTTTTATTCGATATTTTACTCCACACTTTTCCTTCATTTTTCATTATTTCGTCTTGCAACTTAAATATGTGTTCTATCTCTAAAAATGGAGAAATTCGTCATTAGATTCTACGTACTTCTGAAGATCAAGATGAAGACACATTGCGGATTATTCTATTCCTTATTTCATTCAGAAGAGTTCCTCTTTGGTGTAAAATTGTTTAAAATCGAAAAGGTAGTAATTATGATTTTTATGTCATTCAGTTTATTAAATGTTGGCATAGTCCCATTGAATTTTCTAAAGATGCCTGAAACACGAGATAGATCCACGTGTATTTTATCTGACTCGGCCCTAACGCCAGCTACCAGAAGTCGAAACGGACTTCCGAATCGAGCGATTAATTTATTTATTGTATAACCGAATAAAACTGATCGTTATTAGTGCATTCGTCCCTGGTGGATGCAGTTCATTCACACGGCCGTGTCTCGCTAAATATAATATGGCGGTGACCCCCGGTCCTCGTCGACTTCTCCCCTCCTCGACGCCCCACCGTTCTCGTTCCCCTCCGTCGATGCTTCCCTAATTCAACGCCCCTGTGATCACGTCTCTGCCCCCGCGTCTCCACCCTTCTCTTCTCTTCGATCTTTCTTTCTTTCTTTCTCTCTGCCTGGCCTATAACTTCCTTTCTCCTCCGGCCGCTCTCCCCCCCGCGCGCGCTCCTCCGAGCTTTCTATTCCGCGTCTCCCGAGGAAGAAAAACCGAAGCGTGAACGAGAGGGTCCTCTGATCTTCCTTCCTACTTTTACGGATCTGTTCCACCGGTGCCAATCGCCGGTCGATTCCCATCCGAGCATCAAACCCGATCAGTTTTCCAGGCTTAGATCTCAAACAGACTCAGAAACATCTTCACACTCTTTTCTTATAACATCTGTTTTACGTTTCATTTACTTACCAACTAAAAATTACCAATTTAAAAAGCAATGACTTATAAGTTTTCATTAGGAAAACTCGTTAGAAGATAAAAGTAGATCTCAGTTAGGCCAGTGACTAAAGCAACCTCTCTCTTTCTCTGTTTTCAGTGGTAGGAGGAGGCGACCAGAGGAGGACTGCCGGGGAATCGAGGGAAGAGTGCAGCTTTTCGTGTAGCGTACACGACTACTCCTCCTGCATCCAGACCCTTCGACAGACGTTAAGACGCGTTCACAACAGCCAGTCTCATCTTATTCTTCAAAGACAGGACCACCTTACGTTTCAATAATCATTATTAGAAATTTAGTCACATATTAGATGAAATTAAAATTGCCTGTGATAATCGGTCGCGATTTTAAGCACGAGCCTTAGCATTCAGTGTAACGATTGAATTCTTGCCTCACTTTTACAAGGTTGTATATTTTTTTTAAACTCATCACGCGTGATTTCAGTGTAAATCGGTCAGTTGGAAACGTTGCCTAACATCCCTTAGGGCCAGGCGAGGAGCTGCGAGGCCATTCAACTGTCTACGAGCGAACCAGCCAGGGGATTTTTACAACGCCCGGGCTCCTCTCTTTCTCTCTCTCTCTCTATCACTGTCTTTCTCACTCTCTGCCTACTCTCCCCGTTTATTCTTCTTGCTCTTCTTCGTCTTGTTTCTTATATAGGATAGCCCCGGCCCTCTTTTTCTATGCCCTCCTGATCTCTGCCCGGCAACCGTGGACCCACGCGTGAGAACCTCGGGAACCCTCTCATCGAATTTTGCCAAATTTAATCCCGCGTTTTCTGCAATAAACTTCGAATGAAACGAGCGATATCCGACGCGGGAATATCGGTGACGTTCGACTCGTTAGGTCCATTAAGGGACCAGCGATTTCAGCTGTTTCATTCTAACCAGCCCCTTAACTTCGTCAACGAATCTCGTCTCAAGATACAGATCTGGAATTTAAAGTCAGAAACTATACGTTCATCAATCGGTTATATATTAAATAATAAATGAAATAAGAATTTTTGTAATAATAAATAAAATACAATCTCCATGTTGTTTTGTGTCTAATAAATGTCGTCGTTGATTTGCAGGTGCGCGGGGCCAAGGGAGGAGCGTCGGGAAGAACTGTGAAGCCATCCAGCGATACTTGATGATACTAACCCGTAGATCCGAACTTGTGGGCTTTTTTATATGTATACCGCAAGCTCCTATCTACCGGTACATGTAGTCAGGCCAGCATTTAAGCTATTCGGACGGGAACCTACTCCTCCTCCCTCACACACCCTCTGTCCCCCCGGCACTTCCGGTTTACTAATATTTTCCGTCGACGGCGAAGAGGCAGAAACGAGCTAGCGTAGAACGGAAGGACCGTTCCTCCGCTTCCGGTACAGAGGATCACTTCTCTGACCCGGTGCCTCGGGTCTAGTTTGGACATTGTAAAATCAATAAAATTACGTTGGTTCTGAAATAAATGTAAGAATGCAAGGGCGGGGAGACACGACGAAGAGGAGAGCATCAGCGACGACGCCTGGGTGAGGTAGTAGGTTGTATAGTAGGGAATGGAAATTCGCGTGATACGAAGTCCACTGTACAACTTGCTAACTTCCCCGGTCGTCGACGCCGCAACGTTTTCAACGGTCGACTAAACGCGCGTCAAGAGAGAAAAATAAACTGTGAAAAGAGCAAGTGCGCGTGTGTGTAGTGAGACAAACCTGTAGTTAATTATGATAGTGAGAGCAGCGTAGAAGAGTAATTCCCGGGCCAGCCGTCGGGTGTCGATTTCCGACCAAGGCGGCTGAGCTCGGCTGATTTATCAATCGTTAATAATTATAAGTTCATGCGTGTAAGTTTGTAATTGGAACATCTCAGCTCGGACACCGCTAGGCCCTTTGAAGTCCTCAAATAAAATTGTCGATACGCCGAAAGGGGGGAGTGAGAATTTGCGAAGGGAACTGCCATAGAATTTTCAGACGATCGTCTGGTGGTTTCCCGTTTGTGTCGCGCGGGCGGTAGCGAGAGATGGGAAAGATAGAGACGAGGGGAAAACGAAATTGATAAAGAGAAAAAGGGCAATGGCGGGCGGGCTGATTGTAAAGCCTGCCGCGTCGCCGGTCCCCTGAGACCCTAACTTGTGACGTCGCGACCGATATCTCACAGGCTAGATTCTCTGGTATTGGCGATGAGTGCTGCCTTTTGCCGATCAAAAGTCAGTCCTAGTCATCAGAGATAGAGAACTTTGGAACCGGGATCGTCGGCTCTGTAAAGGAATTGAAAAGAGACTCGACCCGTTTGTCTGTCACGTAGATATCTCGACGTTTGTTTTTCTTTCTTATTTTAATTAATTGTACTTGAGTTCGGTGCGAGACCTTATAGACAGCGAGACAGAATATTTGGGTTGAAATAAACGAGGAATAAAATGGAAATACAGCTTTGTATTTTCTTGTCGATGTACATCGGATTGTCTGGACAACAATTTTACACACACAATTCTCTCAGGTCAATATGTACATTTGTTGAAATTACGCTGATAAACATCATTCAGGGTAAAAAATATAACTATCCATCAGAAGTATCTTCTACCTTCCTCCACCAGTCTACTCAATTCCGCGGCTGAGTAGCCCAAGACTTGTTTCAAGTCGCACACGAATTTGTAAACGAACCGTTTCCCATGCACTTTGGAGATCATATCCCCGTCGTAGTAATAACGCAACGCTCGGCTCAATTTCTCGTAGTTCATCGACGGCTTGTTTTTCCGTGCGCCCCACAGCTGCGCCACGGCCTCCGGCTGGTTCAGTTTAAACTCACCCTCGGTCCCGACCCACTGAATCGCGCGTCTGTGCTCCCGGTCAGTTAACAATTCCAGCAGGAATTGCCACAGCTGGATCTGACCGCTGTTCACCGAACGACTCGACGTCGCTATGGTAATCGGCGTCGAATCGATGTTGTCCAAAGGCACGCTGACCACTCGGGCTTGCTGGTTCACCACTGGCCGTGGCTTCGGGATTTTTTGACTGCGGACCTTTATAGCTTTCTCTGCGTTGTTCTCTGTCGGTGACGCCGGCGGATCTTTCTGTACAACCGCTGGAAACAAATACGCGATTTCCGACTAATCAGAAAGTAAATTCTGTAGATAATATAAACCGTAGTAAAGAGATTTCATAATTTTGCTGATTTCGTTATTAGCTGAGTTTTAACTTTTTCTTTTGATCGAATTACGATATTAATTTTTGTTAAAACACACGTACCGACGAATTTGCACTTGCGAAGCAATTCCAAGTGCGTCCAGAACACTTCTCCCGGGTCCAGCGGGACCTTAGCCTGGAATTCCTCCAAGGTAAGGTTGCACAACTGTTGGCCAGTTATATTCCAATCGGCCAGCCTTACAGAGGCCAGATTGAACTGTCTGACTGCCCATTGCAACCAGTGTTTCACGTGCGTCTGAGTCCATTCCTTCGGGTCGGCTGGAATTTTTAACCGTTCCTGTATAATATACGCAAGCGTACAGTCAAAGACATCCTTGGATTAAAATCTTCGAGCTAGGTGATGAATATACCTGCTCCTTCTTATACTGCGGATCGACCATCCACCTTATCACGTTACGTTTGTCCTCGTTAACCGGTGCAGGCGCTAATTAATAAAACGAAGTTCCTTTTATTACGAAATATGATTTGCCAAGCAATTATGTATCTACCATTATTTTCTGCTAGTTCTATGTAATCCTCTGCAGGTTTCAGAACATCCACGATGTTTATCCTTCTCTGTGTCGCTTTTATCTGAACATTTACCTGTACCAATCCTTCTCCCTGTACACATTGGTCCACCAGGTTCTTGTGGCTCTCTAGCTAAAGATATAGAAGGTATTAAAGAATTATCAGAAAAGTCGCTACACGAGTTGCTAAGGATACTTACTATTTGTGCATCTTGCAGCCAGAAAGTATAGTCTGTCAATTCTACTCCCAGTCTCTGTTCCAATAAATTCCTCAAGGTAGACAGAGGTTCTCTGATATCCATGTGTTGCATTAAAACACCTTCGTTGCAATCGTCACCATTCGCAGAGCCTTCTAATGTGAAACTGGGCTCCACTTCCAAATCAGAACTCTCTTGCTGCAACTGGGCCATTATATCATCTTCCTGGGACAACATTGCTTCGGGTTCCATTTTAATCCGTTTTATCATTGCATAATCTGAGTCATCGTCTGTGTCGAAGCTGCACGAAAGAAACGATTGGTAACAGGAAGGGAACAATATGTTTTGAAAATCTCAGCGGGAGCTAACCTCTTGTCAGAGCTCTTCCGTCTGCTCCCCAGATCCATCCCAGAGATCGGTCAGAAATCCTCGGTGCTACGTTGAATCAATGAATGCTAATCAATCGTACGCTGAGGTTTGTAAAATAATTCTTCTTCCTTATTATAATTTTATGGACATTTTGTAACTTTTGTAACAGGTGTATGCAGCATTGATACACGGGAATCCTCACGACTGGTGGGGACAATCTATCATATAGTGGGGGTATGCTAGGCTTGGGTAGCAGCGTTGTGGCAGCGTTGAATACCCAACCCCACCATAAGGTAGGTTGTCCCCACTACCAGTCGTGAGGAATCCTGTAATCCTGTCCTGTGCTGTATCAATCGGTATCAATAGTAAATACTTAAGACGATCTTAAGAATAAGCAACGACTCTGAACACCGGCCTATGGCCGATATTCCTGCTATTTTTCTCTATGCCATGTTTCCAGTCTCTGTCTTGTACAGGAACATACAGGAAACAGGGACTTGAGCAAATGCTTAAGGCGATCTTAAATATAAGTAACGACTCTGAATCTGAACTCCGGCCATAGTGACCTTCCAGGGTCATTATAATTACAGTGAGTATCTTAAAATATCTTTTTTCCTTCAGTTCGAAATTCTTTACTTTAATTATTATAGGAATTGGGAAGCCTAGGTTTATAGGAATTTTTAGGTTTTTTTATACGTGAAGGACTAGTTCCAGCATTCCTTCGCTTCGAAGTTAGTAGTCCTTGAACAATTTTTTGCACGGGTCAATAACAAATAATTTTGTTATCAGAAAGAACAGTTTATTAAAGGATTAAAATCTTTTTATTTGTTCTAATATATAACAAACATTGTTTTTCTTTTAATATTGAAAATACGTTTATTTCAAGTACTACTTAAAACCATGATCTCGTGATTAGCTTACAATTTATTTGTCAAACAATAAGTCTAACTACTTCAATGCCTGGTATATCAATTCTACATAGTTCGTTGTCTAATTTATTTAATTTAACACTTTAACAAGTATGTACAAGTATGCTCAGTATTAAAATTACAATTTAAATTATACACGTGGTAAGGCGTTTACACGATCTAAAGCTAAGTTCAATGGCAGTGATTACAGCGTTCCTTCTTTCTTCATTCCAAATAATTTCCATAACGATTACACTAACAGAAAATTTTCAGAATTATGCTTAATAAATTATAAAAACAAATAACAAATAATAACAATTTAACGATACTACAATCTCTTCGGACTGGGATTAGAAAAAATTTATCTGTTCAACAAGATGAACGTTATTTTATAATTCACATAATAATAACAAATCTCATGATTGTGTACAATTGAGTAACAATTATCATGAGCCTTCGATTTACGAATACGGATAAATTATGCTTGGAAAATATCAATATTGTACGGCGAACTTGCGTAAAAATTTCCTATTACATTTCGAGGTCACCTAAAAGTTCGAGCGATTTTTGCTGGCAGGGAGTTGAAATATCATGTCTCTCAGTACTGGCATCAGTAGAAAACGCTTAGCTTCGCAGACCAAAGACATCACGGACTGTCCTGAGAAATTCGGTATGTCCGCGATGCCGCCGCTCTGTATTAATTTCTGAGCGATCTTCATGTGATTATTTTCCACCGCGTGGAAGAACGGCGTTCGACCCGAACGATGATCCCTCACGTTCACGTCCACGCCCTTTGATATCAGACTGGTCAATCCGTTCATGTTGCCGTGCATCGCGCAATAATGCAATGGGGCGAAACCTTTGATAAACGCATAACGAAAGATGAGAAAACTGAACAGTTCTGTTGAAATCGATTTGTGAATTCCTTATCTGACGTTTACCTGTCGAATCCATCTGATTGAGTAGTTCGCTCTCCGTCACGTAATCTAAGAGCAATGGTAGCAACGGGGACGACGATTTGCTAGCTAGAATTACTGCCGATTCGTGAAGTAGTTCTGAGGTGATCGGCTTAGCTCCGGCGTCCAGTAGGAGCTTCACTATGCTCTCAGAACTGCAATATTTGACCGCTAGCTCGAGAGAAGTCTGAAATAATATCAGAATGATTTTTATTAACTTACACTGTGTTTAATTCCAGGCAACTACTTACCAACCCGTCCTCGGTGCGTATGTCGATGTTCGTCTTTGAAGCGTTCAGGACCACCATCAGCCTCTTCACTCGCCTAAAATCGTCGTTCATGACTGCTCTGTGAATATTAAAAAATCCGTCATCGTCCCACGATTGCATTTCTTCATAATCCTTCTCAAGCTGCGTAGCGACTCTCTTGCAGAAGGTTTGCGGTATCGACAGAACCTTTTTCACCTTGTCTACTTCCTCGTTACTATTAAAGGTAGTCTTGAAATAACTATGAATGTCTTCTATTTCCGGTGTGGGAGACGAGTTCCATGCGAATATCATATCCATGTTGTCAAAGTTACAGTTCATGCTGGACCTCAACTGTTGCTGAAGATTCGCTTGTTCCAAATCGGTTTGCACCTGCACTTCATGGGCAATCGAACTATTTTCCGTTTGCTGTAATGTTTTTTGTTTCATTCGTTCCAAACCGTCCATCGCTTCGTTTATGGATACGAAATATCCTTCATCGAGAAGTCCAAAGACGTCGGTCTGCGTCTGTATTTCCTTGTACTGCGGTACCTCCAGACAGTTTTTTGTGATCTGTTGCATCTTTTTTGTACCGCACTCCGCCAGAGCTAACAAAGCTATTTCCCTAATATTCTCGTCATATTTCAGTGGTATTGTCGTATGAGTGGTTTGTTTCTCATTGTTCTGAGGCACAGATTGCGCTACCGTTGTAATAAGTTCACTACTATTTACATGTTGCGTATGATTTTGAGTAGATTCATTAATTATGTTAGTACCACTATCTATATTTTTCACGTCAGGCACTAACTGAGGTTCCTCTGTCCTCTTTTCGTATAGGATTACAACGTCGTCTTCATTTTCATCACTAATTATCTTGTCTTCAACGTTTTTTTCGGGAATGCCCTTCATTTCTGAGACAGTAGATACTAAATCCTTTACACTATTAATATTTAATTTCTCTGTAGTATTACTACTCCGTACATCTTGATCAGGTTCAATTGTCTTATTACTTATATGGGGTTTCTTGATAATTTTTAATAATTCACGGATATCATTTTTAGTATCTTGGAGCACTTTTACAGTTGGTAACTTAATACATGATTTTTCAGCAGCTGACGATGTAGAATTTGTCGGAGTGATTATATCAAGTGGCAATTTCTTATGTTTAACGATACGAATCGTCTTTGACGCTGTGGTCGACTTTCCTGGACTTATCGCTTTCATAAATACCGTCTTCGCACTCATATTTTCTTTGATTAATTTCTTCTCTTCGCCAGTAGATTCTTTTTCCTTCTTATTAGTGATTCTTGAAGTACCGATTTCTGAAACATCTGAATAATTATGTGGTACAGTATACCCTCTATTAGTTGCAGTCAATTTCTTTCTTTCTGTCCCTTTTTGTACATTTTTTGTATTCATATCGAAATATTGAATCTTCTGCTTAAGAACTCCTAGTGATTTACAAATACAGGTTGGCGCTTGCTTATTGCTTTTATTTATTTTCAACGATTTACTTCTGACTGAATCCTTTTTCGGATCTTTCAACAGTTTATTAGCAGCTGTGATTCTGTCATGTTCATTTGTTCCTTTCGGTTCCTCATTAGATTTTGATAAAACAGGTTTTATGCAGTTTAGAATTACAGAATTCTTTGCCAGCTGCTGCGTACTTTGTTTCTCTATTGGAATCAGCATCCCATAAACACCATCCGGTGTGCTTAATGTCAGCGTGTTAGCTTTCTTGTTCACCGCGAACTGCTTATTAATTAAATGATTTCCATTTAATTTATTGGGGTTGAGAAATGTCGCTTTAACTTCCCCGAGGTCTGTACCATCTTTGCCCCTTATACGCAATTTGCTAAGTTTTCTGTTCGATTTTTAATAAAGTTAGGGGCCTCCTCGGTGCTAGGGGTCAGCTAGGGGTTAAACGGTAAAAGTAACTACAATTTCAGGCTGCCGTCCATTTCTGGTGACAAACGTTCAACACTGTCCGATAAACAAATTCTCTACACGTAAGTGTGAGCAATCATAAAATTATTGACGTAAGAAAACAAATGCTAATATAGCAGGATGTCGAATTAGAATCCAAAAACAATTTGGACTTATTCGATCATTATATTTGCATTTCATTTCAATGATTAATACAAGAACTAATCTCGGAGTCGCAAAAGACGTGCCCGCATATTCATTAAGATTGTAATCTTATATGTTATTATAAATAGCATAAATGTCGTCGTTCATTCATTTAAAAATAGCAACTGTTATTTTTAATTTTATGCGAAAGAAAGGAATAAATTAATACAGAAGCTATGAAATTGATTTGATTTCAGTTTATCTGAAGATCATGATGGAATCATGAGGTGAACATGTGAAAATGTGAACGTTTCCCAACGTTTGGAAACCCAGATTTCAGAAGCCTGCGCCACGTGTTCAGGGCTCTGGAGGTGGGAGTGATCGGATCGAAGCGAGTAGAGAGGGGCGGCGAGAGAGGCGAGGAATGTCAGCTGCCCAGCTCTGCGCTCCTCGAATTCAATCGGCACCGAAAAGCCGATGCTGCCGTTCAGTACTTTTGTTCGTATCGTGCGAGACAGTCGCGTGCACTTATGGATTGAGGCGCGCGGCTATCAGAGGAGACCGCGTCGACAGTAGCCAGGGCCCGTTCGCGTCCAACCATGGGAGATCGCCGGAACAGCCGCGAGGTGCTCACCATATTGTTTCTGTGTCTAATGTGGTACGGGTTCTCGAGTAGCAGCAACGTCGTCGGCAAGATGCTGCTCTCGGAGTTCCCGTATCCGTTGACGGTGACCATGGTCCAGTTGACCTCTATCACGGTCTATTCCGGCCCGTTCTTCAACCTGTGGGGCGTTCGGAAGTACACGGGCGACATACCGTGGGGCTACTACATGCGGCTGATAGTACCGCTCGCTTTGGGGAAATTCCTTGCGAACGTGCTGAGCCACGTCAGCATTTGGAAAGTGCCTGTCTCGTACGCCCATACTGGTATGAGAGACCAACTATTTTGACAGTCACGTGCTGCGCACGCGTGCCTTTTAAAAATAAAACCGCCTTCGCGGCCGACACGCGCAAAATTTTTATTCCTTCGTCGGTTGTCTGATAACGAGTTTAAACCCGGAATTAAATTTATCTCATAACTGTCAATTATACGGATTAAAGTCAAATTACGCTGCTTATGTTTTAATCATTGTCTCATATATTAACTGGAGTTTGGCTCTGTCCCAGTGAAGGCTACAATGCCCTTCTTCACGGTGTTCCTCTCAAGAATCATATTGAAGGAGAAGCAGACCTGGAAGGTGTACCTTAGCTTGGTCCCAATAGTCGTCGGTGTGGCGGTAGCCACTCTGACGGAGCTCAGCTTTAACATGATCGGCTTGTTGAGTGCCTTAGCGTCCACCATGGCATTCTCTCTGCAAAACATTTATTCCAAAAAGGTATTACTCTTTAAAGAGTGTCTAAACGCCTTGCGAATGACACACTGCGATTAATTGAACTGCAGGTGCTGCATGACACGGGAGTCCATCATTTGAGGCTGCTGCTGATCCTCGGCCGCCTGGCACTGATTCTCTTCGCGCCTATATGGGTTTTATTCGACCTGAGGAGATTATTATACGACACGGTGACAGACGCGAATTACAATATACTCGGTCTTCTGTTCCTCGACGGCGTTCTTAACTGGCTGCAAAACATAATCGCGTTCTCCGTGATGTCGATCGTTACTCCGCTGACCTACGCGGTGGCCAGTGCGAGCAAACGCATATTCGTAATCGCGGTCACGCTGTTCGTGCTAGGGAACCCGGTCACGTGGTTAAACGTATTCGGAATGACGCTGGCCATCGGCGGTGTTCTCTGCTACAACAACGCCAAGTACGATCAAAGAATGGAGAAGGAGAATCGACCCACGCTGCCGGTTTATCAGGAAAAAAATCGGAACGGTATCAGTGACGGTTCTTTCATGGCCAATGGCTGGCCTGGGAAGAAACAACAGTCGTACGATGTCTAGTCTTTTGGTTGTTGGACGTTCGTTTTACCTTTGACGAAACTCGCGCGAGGTTCGCGGACTCGTGCGACGACGAAGTATTTATAAATACATACATACATATACATATATATATATTTTATGAATATTACTTTGCACAAAGAAGTAATACGAATTGGCGAACTCTGATTCGGTTAAGCCTCGTCTATTTAATTTAAACAGCGAGCGACTTGCTGGCAAGATGGGAGCTTCGTTGATTGCTGGATCAATTAGCGTTCGAGATATACGATTACATTCCCGCGCGTACGATCCTTCGAAACAATGGGGTATATAAAACTCAGGAATCCAATTACGGCTTAGCTCAATACCGAGCTAAGTATTGATTAGATTCGCAATTGTTCCTTCGAAGCTCGAGTATCGCGATTCGATTTAATTCGTTTCTTGTTTACGTTTCTACTTAACAATCCTCTGAGACGTCTACTTACTTAGCTCGCTCTAACGTCGTAAAACAAATTCGTGAAACATTGTAGGATCAGTTTTTGTGTCATATTGACGAATGATCGATACATGGGCTATTACCACCTCCTAAACTTTTTTTTGTATGGATTTCTTGTGTGACTAACGAAACGAGTTCGGTGAAGCTACGATCACCTTAAAGGGATTCTGACTGGGTGCTGATTTAATGTTCCCCTGATCGAAGCCACCGGACTCGATTCGATACGTTTCATCATGGCAATTGTACATCGATGAATTTGTCGAACTCCGTGCGAGTTCTAATCATAGTATTCAGAATTGTTACTTATTTTTAAGGTCATCTTAAGCATTTCCTATCCCTGTCTATCCTATATTTCCAGTCCCTGTTCTGTACAGGAAACAGGAACTTAAGCAAATACTTAAGGCGATTTTAAAAATAAATAATGACTGAATACTGGTCATAAAGATAATATTATAGAGTAGGTAAGCCATGTCGCGTGTAAGAGGAAATGGTATATATATATAGAAAAAGAGAAGAGTTCAGGTAGTGATGGTATCTCTCTATATATATATTTTATGAATATTACTTTGCACAAAGAAGTAATACGAATTGGCGAACTCTGATTCGGTTAAGCCTCGTCTATTTAATTTAAACAGCGAGCGACTTGCTGGCAAGATGGGAGCTTCGTTGATTGCTGGATCAATTAGCGTTCGAGATATACGATTACATTCCCGCGCGTACGATCCTTCGAAACAATGGGGTATATAAAACTCAGGAATCCAATTACGGCTTAGCTCAATACCGAGCTAAGTATTGATTAGATTCGCAATTGTTCCTTCGAAGCTCGAGTATCGCGATTCGATTTAATTCGTTTCTTGTTTACGTTTCTACTTAACAATCCTCTGAGACGTCTACTTACTTAGCTCGCTCTAACGTCGTAAAACAAATTCGTGAAACATTGTAGGATCAGTTTTTGTGTCATATTGACGAATGATCGATACATGGGCTATTACCACCTCCTAAACTTTTTTTTGTATGGATTTCTTGTGTGACTAACGAAACGAGTTCGGTGAAGCTACGATCACCTTAAAGGGATTCTGACTGGGTGCTGATTTAATGTTCCCCTGATCGAAGCCACCGGACTCGATTCGATACGTTTCATCATGGCAATTGTACATCGATGAATTTGTCGAACTCCGTGCGAGTTCTAATCATAGTATTCAGAATTGTTACTTATTTTTAAGGTCATCTTAAGCATTTCCTATCCCTGTCTATCCTATATTTCCAGTCCCTGTTCTGTACAGGAAACAGGAACTTAAGCAAATACTTAAGGCGATTTTAAAAATAAATAATGACTGAATACTGGTCATAAAGATAATATTATAGAGTAGGTAAGCCATGTCGCGTGTAAGAGGAAATGGTATATATATATAGAAAAAGAGAAGAGTTCAGGTAGTGATGGTATCTCTCTCGAATTTAAGTCACTCAAGAGAGATAGCATCGCTATCGTCATCTCTTCCCTCTTTCTAATGCTTTCCCACAATTCACGACTGTCTCCCCTCCTCTATATTAATTATTTGTATGATTCTAAAAGTTTCGAATTACAGTATTCCCTCGTTAAGCGTGAGGTCTGCGTTAGAGTCTTCGTTACGAGGATCCGTTCACGGTTTGACGACTCGAAGTCGCTGCAGTTAGAGTATGTCTAGAAATAATTTGTGAGGAGTGACAAACATGTGGGTGTGCGTGGGCTCGTGTGCAGGAGAGATGTTCTAACTGAAAGCAATCTATACATTTATTTTTATAAATAAAATACAGGTGTGTACAAAAATATATATACAAGCTACCTCCCTCTGTTCGTCCTCAGAGCGCCTTGCTCGGCGGTGATAGCGGTCGCGCTATCGTCAGATCCAGACGTGGTCCGGCCGCGGCGATCAGTGGCACGGCTAGGCAACAATCGCAGTCCTCGGTGTTCGCGTCGTTCACTCGGAGGATCCGGTCGTATGGCTTTAACACACCGTCGCACGGTCCTCCGGGTCTCAAACGATTTATGTAGACTCCTCGTTCGTACATGCCGTCGGACACGGAGAAACCGAAGTCCTCGTACACCGGGTCCTTGTGCAGGGAGACGTGGACTATTTGCTGCGGTCTCTCAGAGTTACTACTTTCTTGCGGCCTAAATTTCAAATTAAAAATAGATGAGATATGAATTCGAAAAAGCGAGCTGCTTGATAGAATAGGAGCAGCTGGAATATACGGGGTGTTTCAGTGTTGATGAAACAGTTCGATTTTCTCAAGTATTACAGTTTTAGTCTGAGGTAAAAGCTTAAGGATGTATTGGCTATACAGTCAATCCCAAAAGTTTATGCACTTTAGAAACGCATTTTTTAAAAAGAA